GAAAGCTAAACGAGACAGCTGCCACTTGCTCGGCCTATCGGCCGAAGACCCCAAGAAAGGCCAAAATCGACCTGAGGCAAATATCTCAGCATGTTCTGCCACGGTTTCAGGTTATTTGCTGCTGAAGCTCAGATTTTGACAAAGTGTTCGGAACTTTGGAGACATTTTTTAACACTGCTGCCTGCACGACCCAGGTGTATAAGTAATAATCGAAACTGACTGACTGCCTATATCTTGTTTGTACATAATTACCTTGGGCTTTAGAAATCTGTTATCTTCTTGTAATGTACGTTGTGAACATTTCCGACTTCATTGCCATCCTTCATAACTATCGCTGTACGAAAATAAAAACAATTAATCCGTATCATGATTTTGGTCATACCTCTCACTACACCACAGAGTGCAGAGGTTGAATTTATGCAAATTTGTGTCTGTTAACGCGCAGTCGACACGGCTGCATAAACTCTTTCAGCGTTCATATGATGTTTTGTCTTTTGGACATATATGCACAGGCGTGTATCACAATCCAACCAAATTTCAGGGATATGAAGTTTATTACACTGCTTTTGTTGGTCACCGGCAACCCGAAACGTGGGAGATCCTTCGCGTCGATGATAAGAAGGCGTTGCTGCACCTGGAGCTCCAGACATCGTATTACTTTAAAATCCGAGCGTTTAACGAACTGGGCAGCGGTCCATTCTCGCAGACGTTTCGATTGCTAACTGAAATGGAAGGTAGGCATATAAAATTGTATGTCTGGAATGGCAGTACCTCAAGGACGCTGTTGCAGAGTTTCCGCCGGAGGTACGGATACTCAACGGTGATCGACTGGAAGTTGTGCCCGGGGACAGCGTTGAACTCACATGCACAGCATCTGGCAAACCGAAGCCGTCACTGGCTTGGTACCAAGGTGAAGATTCTCTGGACTTGTTACTCGAGTCTGCTGGTCGAAGCTCCTCGCTGACCATTTCCGTCAAGAGCATCGTAGAAACTACCATCTTCAGCTGCGTCGCGAGAAACAGCCAAGGACGAGATACCGCCCAAGTTCGAGTCGTCGTTATTGGTCCCGGCAGTCCGCCGGACCAGATTCAATACCGGCTAGTCGATGGCATCAACTTGGACATTTCTTGGGGAGAGCCGTCCATCAAAAATGGAGATATATTGGTAATGATCCTGCCTCTCCGTGTCAGTGTCACGATCTATCAGTGAAAGTCAGAGAAACGAGCATTGTAAATCTCGACTTCTTCTGCATGGCTCTGACCTGTATCAGTGTTGGGCTGATTTTTGTTCTTTCTCCATCTCATTCTATTCTATTTGACCATATTAGAGGATGCAAGGACACTTGGGTAGTTAGATGAAAATTTTTCATATTTCAAACGTCTCGCAATCATCCAAATTTTATTTCAGTTTGTTGGTGAAGTAAATGAGTAATTAAGCAGTTATGATTTCTCAAACTTATTTCAATTCAGTGTTTCCTTTTTCAATAAATTATCGCTTCGACGGCTCTAGACACAAAGAAACAGATAGATGGAGTTTCTACTGTAACTGCCGACGTTTGGATCAATCTACATTTGCTACGAAAAGATGGCCAACACAGTTGGGATCGAAGGTCAGCAGTTACAATGAGGCTTGTTCAATTCAATTCAATTTCTATGATGCCTTTCCTTTCAGACCTTGAGGCAGACCAGTCAGACAGAACATCTAATCCCGCGCAAGCTTTTGTCCTTTGATACACTTGCCCCAATTTAATTTTGGCCATCCCTAGAGTCTTCTGCCTAAAGGTTGGGTAAGTATTAGCTGCTTCGCCTACCTTTTCCATGACATTCGCATGACGCGCTCAAACCATAGGTGTTGTAATTTCTAAACCTGCAGAAACATTGGTTCTCTAGGATATCTGTTCTTCAGACCATGTTGAGAAACGCGAGTCCCGCAATTGGTCTCAGAAAGCCCATTTCCGGCGCTTGTACCCGAGTTCGAAGCTTTTCAGCCATCGTCCACCAGCTACGTTTTCAGACTGAGCTCTGTTTTAGTCACAGTGGGTCGGGCTAGTTCCCGAAGAACTCAACTGGCTACTCCAATTCGTCGGTCGATCTCTTCCTCAAACTTTCCATCACTAGTAAATATAGTTCCG